GTTGTAAGAAATTTGCATGGTTCAGCTGATTTCAAAAATTTTAATCACTTAAAATATCTTGAAAATTTATGAAATCATAAATGAAAATTAAAAATAAAAAAATTAATAGTTTTTTAAACATGTATTATGTTTAAAACTTCTTTTGTATTTTCTTACCAAGCAAACGTGCAGGTTGACAATATATATGATCTTGTGCCTTATAGGGTGTTACTGGTTCCATAGATTTCCATGTGTAATCATGCTTCTGAGTTGTAACATTTTGCATAGGACCTCTACCAAGCCATTGTTTCTCACATGGTGTAATAGGTAATTCAGGTTTTACGCACAAGTTTTCTAAATAACTGGACTGAAACAAAGAAATGTATAGTATTAAGTTGTATAAATTAAAATAGAAATCAGTTAAATCAGACGATTAGTAACGGTATAACTAAAGTACAGTATGGTATAAAACTTCAAAATACTAGAAAATATCCTAATTAATATCTTACACTGTATGTTGTTTCGTCAGATATTTCACCGTCGCCAGTAACTAACCAATTCCGTGGTAAAATAGGATCCTCGACTACATTTGGACATTCCCAGTAGGAAAGTTGATACGTAGTGTTACTGTCCATTGGTATAGTCGATTTCCAATAACGCTAGAATAATATTTGTTATGTTAATTAAATTAGAATTAGAATTGCTAACAAAAAGAATATTAAAATATTTAGAAGAAATATGTTGCGATAACGAGAAGACTACTATGTACACTAATTGTAAGCCAATTGTTCAAGATGCGAAGAAAATACATTTCTTTAACAACTAGACTTATCCCTAATATAATTTAGTACAGTTTTAGTCAGAATTCGAAATTCTTTCCAAATTTTACATAAAAAATGTAATGTTCCATTCAAAATGAAAAGGAAGTTGTTTTATACATTTCCGAACCGCTCCCTCCACCTACAGAAAAATTATATCCACTATGTAAAGTGTCCTTCGAATTCGAGAAACTTTTGTGTAATAATTTTGCATAAAACGCATAATTTAGAAGTTATTCAAGGTGTGCAAGTTAGGCGGGACATTCTGTATGATCTGTTAATTGAAATATGTAATTCTGACAATAGTGTCATAAGCAATCTTGTCCATAAGAATAAGTAATTTTTTAAGAAATGTTTCAATGAAAATTTTTTTACTTACACGGATTGGAGCAAAAGATTTCGGCACTTCTGGTTGTAAATATTTCTGCAAATGAATTAAACACCTAAGACAGTGATCATATAAAACAAGACCGGTGCTATTGTAATACTTACGTAGCATGTTTGTTGAGACGTACAACAGCAGCAATTGCAACTTTCATCGTGATCTATCTAAAATGCGATTGCCAATATTGTTATTAACTTCTTATTGAAAACCATATTATTTTGGTTATGTTACTTATAAAACGTTATTATTATTATATTGATTATAGGCTTATATATCATAATCTAATTTATCGGTACAAAATAATAATTAATTTCTCCATCAATTTATAATCCTACAAACTTTTTTTTCAGTTGAGTGAAGTATTTACAATCTGTAAATACGTTCAACAGAACATTCTCTTCCTTCCTTTGTTAACTTAGTAATTGTTTATTAATGGAGTAATAATTAATTATTATTGCTAGTTTGTGCTACAGTGAATCTTATATTTAAATCTGTGGGCTTGAAATGTTTAAACCTTCTCACTTCGTTGGTATTGTTTATTAATTTGTTGGCCAATTTGTTAGGATGTATGTATTGAAATTCTTTGATGATATTTTTCGTAGTAGTGTTTAAGCCCTTCTTAAACTGTGGGTATTCGAAGGTCACGGTGAATTACCTGGTTAGATACATACCACGGCGTGCTGACAATGACCTGCAAGACTTTGTTTTGAAATTGTTTCGACGCGATTCTTAATCTTTATTAATTTTCGGGTATCGCGTCTCTCACACGCCAAATTAATTTTGTGTAGGTTTGCAGGTATGAACTGCGTCGTGACGTGAACTATTGTCTTGATCCTTTTGGAAACCGTTTTTACATAGAGGCGCGTTGGGTCTTTCGTACAGTTTTATCTAAAAAACTATGGTGAGGGGTGGCCTATGCGGACGAATAGGAGTCCTTCCTAGTCCTCGGCTGTCCTCCGGGAGTAGGGGTTGGGCAGTCTATCCTGGTTTTCCCGCGGAACTGATCTGTGTATGTGTGTGAGGTGACTTTACGACACGTCAATGGCTATTGAAGAAAATGTACGGGCGCCAAAAAGGCGTATGGCAAGCGGAAGTGTCGAGTTTCTGCGTCCATAAACACTTTCTGGCCCTCGACATCTGTCGCGTCGCGTTCTCTTTTGATTGTTCAAAAAGCTCGCGTTCACGACTGTTACCCGCCAAGCTAATCTTAGGTATAGTTGGGGCCACGATATAGCGAGGTCGTAAATGAAACTCTCAAGAATCGGCATCGATTGATGTTGCGGCACTCAAGGCCGTGTGTTGCAGTCTGTTTGAGGGTTCCAACAATAAACGAATGGTAGCATATGATTTGGTACTTCAAGTAGAAAATGGTATTTCATTTACAAATGGAAAATATGTTAATATTAAAGCTACACAATCCTTTTGCATTTTCTATCTGCATCTTGTAACCGTACTTCCAAATGCGGCTTTTCCCAGAAGAAAAAAACCCTAAATTGTCCTAGCTGAACTCAATTTTCAGTAAATATATTAGAATCAGTTTGACTTTCGCTGGATAGAAGAATTCTTTGTACGGTCCTGACCATGGTTTCAAGTACTTATCTGCTCGTATCTCTGTCAATTTTCGGGTCCCGGTTCGAAATTTCGTCTTGCTCGGAATGTTAGCAAAACGTCAAGTGCGTCACGAAACGATTGACGACTTGTTTCAAAACTCGAATATTCGATCGCGACTCGAAGTGTACTTGTTTCTCCTCGAACGGCTGGAGAGTGTCTTGTTCACTCGAAAGAATCTTTGCGAATGTCCTTTTCGATCCCCGAATTTTTCTGGAGTCCGCAGTGTAAGAAAGGCACGCTGATTGGTTTTTCACGTATGCAGAAATTACCAATCAACGTGCCCCTTAGGTGTCACCCACCCTTCCTTTGCGCCCTTAGCGCGCTTTTCCTTGGAAGGAGTGGGGCCATACCTGCGGGTGCGTGGCATCTTCGCTGTCCTTCCGTGACGCGTCGGAAATTCCCGCCAGGTCAACCCTCGGCCGAAAGTGCCGTTATACGCACGTGTGGATTGACCCTTCGGGAATACCTGGTTTATGACACGTCTTCGGTTATTGAGGACGCGGAAAGTCGAATTCTAAAGGCATTGTTCTGTAAGAAAGTACTTATTTTTTCGCGGAGCTACGAAACGTCTTTGTTCTCAAAAATAACCTTTGAGTGCGAGCGTGCCATAAACCCGGTCAACGAAGACCCCACGCGTTCCGTACCTGCGCGACGGAACAACATCGCTTCGAACGGGAAAGTAAGCACAAAATAATTGAAATTAGAAGACCTCAAAAATAGCAGGCCTGGTCGTCCATGTCATAAAGTCAAACCCTTAACGGTTGCGTCTGCGACGCAACAGAAATCTTTGGAGGATTTCTGTATTGGATGTACATATGTACATGTAGTCCCCCAGAGCTGTTTTCCGTACATCCATACTGGCTTCAGTATGGTTTTATAAATTAGAATTTTATTTTCAAGTGTCAGTTGTGATTTTGTGTCTATTAACCAATACATTTGCTGAAATTTTATACCAAGCTGTTTCCCTTTGGTAAAGATATGTTTGCGCCATGTTAATCTTCTATGTATTTAGGTATACGCGAAGATATTTTATATCTTTAGATTGTAGCATTTTGGTGTTGTTTAGGGTTACCGGCGAGCACGTATCTCTTTTCATTGTGAATGTTACAATCGTAGATTTTGTTTCATTAGCTTTGATTCTCCATTGTCTCAACCAGGTCTGAATTTTGTTTAGATTTATTTGTCCATTCCTTGAGGCAATCTCGGGGTCCGTGTGTGATACTAGTATTGCTGTGTCGTCAGCAAATGTAACCACTGATGTCAGTCGTGTTGTTAAAAAGTCAGCTATATATAAGAGATATACAATCCCTGTCCAAAAAATTAGGACCACTCACAATTTTCAACATCTTTCGTGTTTTGACAATATGTATATGAACGTCATGAACACTGTCTTTCTGCCTTATTATGCAGGATGGAAATCAGAATTTCCATATTCCCTTGGCTAGACAATTCTCCCGATATGAATCCAATTGAGAATGTCTGGAGTTTACTTAAAACACTCGTATATACATACATACACTACCGGCCAAAAGTTTGGAACAGTTCGATGCCAATTTTTAAATCCACACCCATAATCTAGAATGAGTTTCTTTTGATCTATTACCGATTTAAGACTTTCTAAAAATAATGTTTCGAACATTTTTTATAGTATCAGGCTTATGGGTCTGTACGATATTGCTTCGTTTGATGGTTTTCCCGGTTTAGAAAGCATGATAATTTGAGATACTTTCCATTAACTACGGAAGTGTTTCAATCTTGTATCTAGCTTAATTATATATGATTTCTTGCAATACTTTGCCAGTTATTAGATCGAACCCTGGTGCCTTTTACGGGTTAGTTTCAAATAGCATTCCTTATTTTTTTCAGTTTAAAGCTGTTAATGCTCGTGGTTGTGGCGATAAACTTTCGAGCTTTGTAGATGTTTGCACAATGTTGTGCCGTCTAGATACTGGTTCGAAGGACCACCCAAATGATTAGGACTTGGAAAAAACTGATCTATGTCTAACGCGTGATGTGAGCTGGTTCCACCTTGCTTCTCCTTGTTCGTGGTGGTTGAACGACTACTTCACTACGACACACTCGTCAACGTCGCGTCCCGATCGTCCGTGAGAGGAATTTTTGTTGGGACACGCTGATTGGTTAATGGTTAACGAGTGCATTTGCCAATCAGCGTGTCTAATATCGTCTTTGCCGCCCTTCCAGTGCGCCCTTAGCGCGCTGTCACCTTGGAAGGGTGGGAGACGGTCGCGAGGGGTGGGCGAAAGGTCCCAAAAATCTGGAATTTCCTCCGGGTGACTAATAGGCAAGCGGACCGTTACATACAGATATGCCGTTTATGGTATGTTCGTAGGCTATTGAGCGCGAGGGACACAAATTACTAAAAATCTAGCAAAGCAATTCTAGCGACCCTCGCAGGATGTAATTAGACCCGTGCAAGCAATAAACGAAAATCCTCAACTCAAAAATAACCGTTCCCGGTCGATCGAACCGTTTCTACAGAAAACCTAACACAGCTTTTTTGTTTCTGGCCCATTTTCCACCATCGTCTGTGATCGGTGGAGTTGATTGTCGTAGACGTTTAATTTTCTTGGTCGCTTTCCAAAATAAGTAATCATTCGCTTCTGTGGGTGATAAGTTAGAAAGATATTCGTGCATCGTGTGACGCATCGATTTGCAACGAGAGCCCAGCATCTCGCATGTGTAACGATAACCGAATTTCATTTATTCACTGCATAAACAAACGAAATCTGCTCTGAACCTGGCAAATACACTTGAAAACAGTCGACGACATAAGTTATACGTGTGATCTGAGATTATGTTACGATATTTTACCACATTTATTAAAAGTTTTGTTTTTGTGGCGTGGTAGCGAATGTGTTAAAGAGAAGCCTAACAGCTTCTCGATAGCCTGAACGCCGTGGGCACTAGCCTGAATGCTAGTACATGGCTCTATGATTACATGAGCAGTTTAAAGCAAAAGTGGTGTAAGTGAAAAAAGGCGATTTCTGGATAATGAGAGATTATTCTTCTGATTTACACCATTTTCGTGTATTACGTGAGAGCACACGCCTGAGCGGAGAAAGAGAGAGATGATGTCTCGGTAGCGAATAACAGGTGAGAATTTGTGCGAGATGATCTAGTTCCATACAGGCACCTGGTTTTGTGATCGTTAGATCAAAGAGGTTAGAGGCAAATAATTATCAATGGAAATTAAAAATTGATTCAAAAACTATGTTAAACTCATATGTGATATATTGTTACAATGAAATGATAGGTGTGCAAAACAAAAGGATTATTACAAAAGAAATCGGTAACGAAATTGACAAATATCTCAGATTCTATTGACGGATACTGTAGCGTCCCAAAACGCCGTAGCTCTTCGATGCTTGGGAACGCTGACTCGTGGCAGGGCGAGTCTTATTTATAGGAAAGAAATCAACACGTTTTCGAACTAAACAATTATTGTATTTCTTAAGCGTGTCCTCAGTGGAATGCGTGTTTAGGCGTGTTCTCAATAGAATGCGTGTCGAGGGTGAAAACTTCCGTGCTTTATAGCACGGAGCCGTCCACACCCGGCGTGGTGGTGGTAAGTGCGACGCGATGTGGAAGACGTCGAGCGATCATCGCTTTTGGCGGCCCATGCGACACAGGACCCAACGCGAGTCCCCTCAAGCGAAGAAACACTCGAGCCCTCTCGCCTCGGCAACCGCGGTCCTGCTTCGGTTCCTCGTGGGATCCCTTTGTCGAAGACCTTATTGCGACATTATAACACGGTTCCGCTGATGCCATACGGCTCGGCTACGCACTCGTCCTGTCGGTCCTGCGTCGCGGTGCTCGAAACCGAACAGATACTTTACTTACTGTTTGTTACGTAACGGTCGAGATCGCCTTCGTCTCGGGTTGTTTAAATAAGTAGAACCCAGAAATGTGGTTGATTTTGTTTTATTGAATGTTTAGGTTGAGCAGGTGTCGTTCCAACTGTACTGATTAAGACTATTTGCTGACTTGGTCCGGGTACATGATTTTTAGAGGGGTTTTGATACCTTGCTTCCGACCAATCAACGGTCAGGAAAAGGGCCTGATGTCGAGCGTCGCTTCTTGGGTTTTTCCCAACTTCGCCCCCTCCTACCTGTGGTGGTTGCTTGGCATTTTCGCGTTTCGATTTGGTATAAATAGTTGCTTATAATTGTATAGGTTATCACTGGGTGGGTTCGTAACACTGTTAAATTTTACAATAATTGTATACACACAGAATTAAGGACAAAGCGACGATAAGTCAAAGGTTTCACACAATGGCTACACATCTAAATTGCCATTATCGTGATCGCACAATATTGCGTGAAAGAAAAAGAATAATGAAATTTAAGACAACTCACCAAAAATGTGTATTAATGTGTATATTCCGCTTGTGTATGTATATAGGTAAATATGAATTGTATAACTGGATGAATTATCTAGCATATACGTGTTTTCCCTGATCTTACGTTGGCCTTTCCACTGAAGAAGAAGAAGATAGGTTAAGCAAGATGATCGTTGTTCAATAAAATAACGAATATAATATAATAAAAGAAATATATAAATCACAAAATAAGAAATGAATTTAAAAATGAATAAAATACTATAATTGAACATGTACATGGTCTTTAAAACTACATACTAGTGGTGCTGAGTCTTTCGTCACTTATGCTTTTCACAAAACTGTTAACAAACTCTAGCTCAATTTAGTTATACCACGGATTTCTCGATCACGCACCTCGCGACAGTTCGATCTGATGTCTTCGACAATAGTCATCCAGTCGTGGTTCCCCGAGAGCGAACTTGATGCCCTGCTCCTCAAAAACCACGTTGGAGATGAATTGCTTATAAATTTTAACGAATCGAATCAGTCGAGGAGGAACGCGACGGAGCCTCGTCCTGCGGTCTCGCTTGCTCCATCTCCGCGGAAAAGGTCCAACACCGCTACGGTCTATTCGCGCTTATCACTATTGAAACCACTCGATACGCTTAGACGATGTTCGACGAAAAAGTTGCTTATAGATTTTAATTACAAGTCTTTCTTTCGGGCTACCGATATGTTTCTGGCCAAGGATTTCCCACAATGCTTTGCACTGCCAGTAACATTACAATAACTTTACGCTCGCTGATTAACGCAGTGGATGTGGATCTACGCATTTATAATACTCTAACATATACTGAACATCCGGTGATATTATCAAGTTCTAAGAAACTATTCGGACAACGCATATCTAAATGATACTCGACCACGTTGGTTCCAAGGAAGGTATGCGTTACATTAACAACTAACCGTGATGCCAAAACAAAAGGATAAATTTCTTATACATCAAAGACTGAGTCTGCGATTAATTAGGGAGTTCCCACAATGCTATGCATTATCAAATCATAAAAAAAAAGAATTTTGTTCGGAACGTAACACGTGCAAACCAGAAAAGTAATTATTATTAGATGTAATAAAAAAAGGATCTGTTTGTTGAGATAGACATGTTTTTACTGCTTTATTAATTACCAAACAAATTATTTAAAAAAAAATGAATAAAATGTCATAAATTTAAATCGAAAAATAATAATTAGCATGACACAGAAACTTTGTGGATAGCAATAACGTTAAGCTCTTATTCATCGCTCACATCTTCTTCGAAATCCAGAAGTACAATGTAATTTATCTCACACCAAAGATTGACTTACACCATTCTTGCATATAGCGTCCATGCCATTCACTCGAATTCACCCACTCGGGTGGTTCTTACTTATTTTGCCATCTACCGAGAAACTAACGAGGATATCTTTACACCACTTCTGCACAAAACAGAAGGAAGGTTAATCTTTCGAGATGTGGTGTTAACTCAAAAAGGCAAAAAATTGACTTACGCCACTTTTGCTTTAAACGGCTCATATGTACATATATATGTGTTCTGACTGGCTAACTTCTGTATTCTAACTTTACTGCTCTTAACTGAGCTGGACTGACTTTCTTGAATGACTTGCCTTACTTTTTTTTCTTTTTCTCCGCCTGAGGATAATGTAGCAGAAAGCCAGTGGTGCATCTAGAATAAGCCAGTTAAATAGGAGAACCAAACAGGAGAAATAGAAACCATAGAAAAATTCAAGCATCAACCTAAGCAAACCTAAGCAGATGCTGAATCCTAGATAAAAGCAGGGGAAAAACAGAGGAGCAACGAGGGAACTTCAAGTGAGACAAGAAGGACCCCAAGTACCAAAAATCATTACGAATCGGATGCGCTAGTAGCCTGGCGGACCCGAGCAGGCTGGCAGCCAGCAAACTGTAGTCGTGTCAGAGTTCCGAGATAGCTGATATGATCCTTCAGTCCAGGAAAGCAACTGGTGATGATTCTGAAGCGTACTTTAATCCACTTCAATCCACACAGCTAGCACAAGTAGTCGTCGTAGTCGATACTCGCAGGAGAGTCGTTCCGATATACACAGTACGAGTGTATAACTTGCCTTACGTTCGTTCGAGTAACTTGTTGAATAGAATCGTTCAAACGAGTCGAATAATTTGCCTTACATTCGTTCTAGTCCTTTTATCTGATTTTGGACTAGCTCTTTCTTATGTGATGCACGTTGATTGGTCGATCCAAAAAATTACAAATTACGAATCAGCATGCCTAAGTAAGTGCGACTACCTTCCCCTTGCGTCCTTAGCGCGTTGCCTTGGAGAGGGGATAACGATGGGTTTGTAGAAGGTAGCGAATGTTTAGCAGCAGCATGGAATTTTCTCCAGATTCTGGCCGCGTCGATCCTTTGACCGTTACAATTTATTTCTGAATCACCCTTCGGAAAGCTCATTTTATGACACGTATTTTGGCTATTAAGGACGAGAGAAATTATTTCCTGATTTTCTCTCGCCAGGACATACATATACTTTAATCCTTGAAAACGGTTAGTAATGAACTAAGGTCCAAATCTAAAAAATAGCCCCTTCAGCACGACCGTGTCGTAAATTGTTATGCTTAACGGCCGTATTAAGTTTTCTTTTGTCGGATTCTGATCTTAATCATTACCATTGCTTGCGAGCTTTTCGGCTATTGCCTGTTTAATTATTATTAGATAGTTTTCTTTTACGTGAGTTGTATTTTGGTCCGAAGTTACTTGCCAGTCTGCTTTTTGTAGGGCGTTTGTAAGCTGGCCTACTGCATTTTCTACGCCTCTTTCTGATTTTAAAGGCATATCTAGGTGGATTAATTTATCTAATTCCAATCTAACAATATTCCAATTAGTTTTTTTTCTGTAAAGTGTTAAGTGTTTTTATGTAATTTGTGTATACATATATTATTACGAGGATAGGTTACTGGTCTGAAGAAAGAACTAGCGATAATTCGGTTTTGCGCTGTTTGATGTTTATGTCTTTTGTAAGACAGAAGACAATTACATCTGGTATTTTCCTGTGATCAATTGACCAATATGTTGGTTGTCCTATTGATAGGCACTGTAAATTTCTATTTTCCATTGCGGCTAATACTTCTTTCATTTTAGTTGTTGTAAATCGTAATACTCAATATTGATGTTTCGCACTGTAGTGTTCTCCAGGTATGAATTTATTTCAAAGAGCTGAATAAAGAAATGAATAAAATAATAAAGAAAGACAAAGGTACTGTTATTGCCACAATACCAGTGAACAACAGGTTTCAAGTGCTAGAAGAAAATGAAATAATGGAAATCAATGATGAAAATAGTAAAGAAAATAATTTACACGCTAGGAAACCAAAAGCTGTCCCAATTGTAGTGCACGGAAGTATAATATCATACAGTGACTTAATTAATAAAATTAAAAAGCACATCAAAGACAAATTTTATATCAAACATAATAATGATACATTCATACAACAATTGAAGATTACAAGCTGTTAATAAACAATATAGATGGACATACCAAGTACCACATATACACAATCAAAGAAGAAAAGACTAAGACCTCTGTCATACGTGGTCTAATAGACAACAAGTTTGGAAGATATGAAATTAGAATTACTAGAAGTTGGAATTAAAATAGAAAAATATTCCAAAATATGTACATGGAACAACTAATCCAGTCTACATGATAACAGCAAAGAGAAATGTAAATGTACATACCCTAAATGAAAAAGCCAAATACTTAATGTATACCTAAATAAGGTAGGAGAGGTTCTATAATAAAAGATTAATTGTACAATGCCATCTATGTCAAAAATGGGGTCACGCTTCTTCAAATTGTTATGCCAGACCAAAATGCCTTAAATGTGCAAATGATCATTTAACTAAAGACTCTAAGAAGAGCAAGAAGTAGTCTCCATCGTATGTAAACTGCGAAGGAAACCATTCTGTTAACTTTATCAAATGTGAAGTCTACCTACAGAGACTAGAGAGAATAAATAAAAACAGGTAGCCAATACCCATTGAAAGGAAACAACAAATTCAACAGCAGCAGATAAACATCAATAGCAACAAGGAATTTCCCAATATAACAGCAAGAAGGAACGACACACAACCTCCGAAGGAAGAAACTCAAGCAACTATAATGAAGCTGTAATTGGTAATAGGTGCAACAATAGCAATAAAATAGGAAACAAACTAAAAGAATTAAATACATTATTCAATGAAATAAAAACATTAACTCAAATGGTAAATGTCACCTAAATGATAAATGATAAATGGTAAATTTAGTTAAGGAACTAAATAGACAATTGGAAGGATTTAGAACATCTATGCATAAATTTCAAACATTTTATAATTTTAGTATTATGTTAAATAATGACTGTGAATAACTTAACAATATGTAGCTGAATTGTCAATAATATTAAAGGCAAAATAACAGAAATTATAGACTTGCTATATAGAAACAAAATATATATCTTTTTAATAAATGAAACTAAACTGAAAGGAGAAGAAGCAATAAAGATAAGAGGGTACAGCAATACCACTGAAATCAGACAAAATGGAGCAGGTGGGATAACCATAATAATAAAAAAAGGAATACAATATGAAAGAATAAATATTAAAAGAAGAATCTCGCTAGAATATGTGTGCATTAGACTAAAAAATAACCTACATATCATAGCAGCTTATAATAAACCTCTAAACCACTTCACTAGAAATGCTCACACAAATGGCACGAAAAGTAAGGAACAAAATAAAGGTATATAGAAATGAGAAATGGACTGAAAAACTATCACAAATCATCATCCAGGAGAAGAGTTTATGGAGAATGACTAAGGTTTTTGAAAACCCAATTTAAAATAATACCTGCTTTACAAAAAGATAATAAAACAGCACTAACAAGCCAGGAAAAAGTAAATATGATAGCAACTCAACTAGAAGAAATCTATGATATAGATTTAGTTAATAACACACCACAGCAAAACAGAATAATCCAAGCAGTACAAAAATTCTTGGAAGAAACAGAAGATGAATCAGAAAAAGAAAACCAAACATACATCTCACCTCAGAAAATAATACAGATAAGTAAAACAGTAAATACATATAAAACCCCAGGCACTGATGGAATACAAAATATCTTACTAAAAAACTTATCAAGAAAATCTCTAGCACAGTTAACATACATCATAAATGCGAATTTGAAATACATTTATTTTCCAGAGTGATGAAATACAGCTAACGTAATTTCAAAACCAAAGCCAGGTAGAAATAAAAAAGACCCATCAAACTATAGGCCAATAAGTTTATTACAAACCCTGAGTAAGCTAATAGAAAAGATAATATTAGAAAAACTTAGGGATTATGAAGAAAAAAATAAACTGGCAAGAGACATCAGATTTGGTTTTAGAAAAAGACTACACTGTACAACAAATAATATACAGGGTGTCCCGTAACTCCTCGAACACCCGGAAATGGGGGGTAGCTGAGGTGACTCTGAACAACCTTTTCCTTTTCCAAAATCCAGTTTGAAGCTTCGTTTTTGAATTATTAACGAAAAACACTGGCCAATCAGAGCGCGCGTAGAGCCCGCGCTCAGGGACGGCCGAACAGAGATGCACCCGCGCGAGCGAACAAATGCGTACGCGTGACTTCTCGGTTCTCGATAGCTGTCAAAAAACTTTCACTTTGCACTGCTGTTTTTATAAGGCTTAGAGAAATGGTTTTTGGCCGTCATTCCGACGTTTGTATAAATTTGTGAAAAATGCAATTAGTCTGAATCGCGAAGAAAATAGCGAAGGTCGTTTTTACAACTTTTTTATCTGAGCTCGAAATGAAAATCTAAAAAATACGTTTTGTAGATCTATGTCAATGATAAACCACATTTTATTCATTTCCTTAAAATAATTTGTTTGGTAATTAATAAAGCAGTAAAAGCATAATGTCTACTTCAACAAACAAATCCCTTTTTTATTACATCTAATAATAATTACCTTTCCAGTTTGCACGAAAATGGTGTAAGTCAGAAGAATAATGAATAAAATGATTATATGGCAAAATGGTATTATTAGCTTAAGGTATAACTATACAGTGGCTTACTTAAAAGAGATGTAACATTCTTTCATATTATTGAATTTTACAGAACTTTTACTTTATCCCTCATTATCCAGAAATCAACTTTTTTGACTTACACCACTTTCGCATTAAAAGGCTCATAAAGCTGAGTCAAAAAACCGGAGCACTTCAAGGATCAATATTGGGACCCCAATTATTTAATATACAGGGTGTCCCGTAACTTCTCGAACACCCGGAAATGGGGGGTTGCTGGGATGACTCTGAACAACTTTTTCCTTTTCCAAAATGTAGTTTGAAGCTTCGTTTTTTAATTATTAACGAAAAACACTGGCCAATCAGAGCGCGCGTAGAGCCCGCGCTCAGGGACGGCCGAACAGAGATTCACCCGCGCGCTATCGTGAACGACTCATACGCATGACTTCTCGGTTATTGATCGCTGTCAAAAACTTTGACTTTGCACCGCTATTTTTATAAGGCTTAGAGAAATGGTTTTTTGCCGTAATTTCGACGTTTGTATAAATTTTTGAAAAAACTGCAATTAGTCGGAATCACGAAGAAAATAGCGAAGGTCGTTTTTACAACTTTTATATCTGAGCTCGTAATGAAAATCTAAAAAAATACGTTTTGTAGATCTATGTCAATTATACACACGCTGAAAATTTCCTCGAAATCGGTTAATGTTGCTATGAGCTACAAACGGTTAAAGATTGTGAAAATTGCACTATCACGACTTTCAGCGTAAAACTGTAATAAATCTGCAGATTCTTACATCTTTCGATGCCTGTCGCTTGTTTCTCCATCCACTGATTTCGATGAAATTTTCAGCGTGTGTATAATTGACATAGATTTACAAAACGTATTTTTTTTTTTCATAAATAACAAATAAGTCGTTTAATAACTGTGTTCGATACTTTTATTCGTTATCCGAAAGGAATAAAGTTTCTTTATTTCTTATGAAAAACTTACCCATTCGTCCACGAATTAATCTGCTTCGACGGAAGTAGGTCAGTGTGTCAATCCTGACCTTTCCAGGCAATCTGAAACAGTTGATGTTACGGCCGGGTCGGTGAACTCATATGATCGACCATCGCCAGACGTCGCCTGGCCCGCGGGGAAAGTGGTGAAAAAAGCAGAAGACGTCGCGGCGTTCGACGTGTCCTGTCGGCGTTCGACGTCTATTTTTTGTCGATGTCGATGTCTATTGTTTCTATCGTTTGGCGATACACTGTTACACTGTTTTCAACTCAATTTATTAAGATATACATAAATGTGTTGGTAGGTGTACAATTCGCCCGGAAAATACAACCGTTTCATGCGTTAACTGGCCCTGCGGCAGCGGTTCGGCGGGTACGACTCGACGGTTGGTAGAAGAAAAACTGAACAATTTTATGTACACAATGTACATAAACAAAGTAAATAATATATTTATAAAACATTTATATTTTTTGTTATAAGATGATATTTATTACCTAAAAATTAGTTCTGAAATACATATGTAAGACTAAGGAATTACAGGCGCTTAAAGTAACTGATGTTAAAATAACGTCGGTTCGCTCGTCGATGGCTATTTGCAATATAGTGAGGGCCGCTGCCCTTTTTCCCGTTTTTATATGGTTCTTCGGCTGTTAGAACCCTGCAAGCCGTGGGGTGGGGGTGCAGCCTGCGTTACTCCTTGTCTAGAGCCCCCTGCGGCTCGGGTCCCGCGGTCGTGCTATGCGCGTCGCACAGCGCCTTACACATAGTAAAAATTCTAGTACGGGTCAGAAGAGACCCGGCGTTGGCGTGCCGCGTCACTGTTTTCGGTCGGCTGTTCAAGGGTTAAAATCATTAAGTAGGGCAATATTGCTATGATCTGTTAGATCCTCGGCACACGGCTTTTTCTCCAGATTGGACTGACCAGTTAATTTTTCAACATCGGGCCATAGTTTTCTCCACGATTTGACAAATGTTGATAGTGGCATTTCTTCAAAAGCAGATGCCAACATGTAAATCACATCCTTGATATTAATTTTTTTAAGAGCTTCCATAAGTCCCGTTTCCTGATTATGTATTTCAAGTATTTCTGTTAGAAGCTTTTTTCTATAACGTCTTTTCAAACTAATTATTACACCTTGGTCCATAGGTTGGACCAAAGATGTAACAGCAGGTGGTAAAAATATAACCTTGATGTCACCAGTTGAAAGATTGATTCGATGGCTTGGAACATTGTCAAGGAGAAGAGCCTTAAGTGGCAATTTTAAATGTGTTAAAAGAAAGAAGAACCATTCTTCAAATAGAAAGGAATTCATCCAAACTGACTTTTGAGCTTTGTAATAAACTGGTAAAGCATTGATATTTATGTTTTTAAATGCTCTTGGTTTAGCTGATTTCCCTATAACAAAGAGAGGAAGTTTGTGACTCCCAGCAGCATTTGTACAAAAAGCTACAGTGATTCTCTCTTTATTCGTTTTAAAACCGGCAGCGGTTGTTTCTTGTGGTGTTGCTAGCATTCTGTCCGGAAGAAGTTTGAAATTTATACCTGTTTCATCTAAATTGTAGACTTGTTCAGGGGTAAGATTTCCCTCAAGTATAACATTCGACAATTTTTTAGAAAATTCATTTGCAGCGTTTTGAGCCATCCCTCATTGGCTAAGAATTTTTCTTCGTTGTTAATTTTTTCGTGTAATTGAATTGCTTTTTCCATCAAAATTGGCCCACTAAGAGGTGTTCTTTTTTGTTGTTCTTGCAGAAACCATATCCATAATGCATCATCAATTATTTCATTTTTCGGTTTCTTCATTGTGCATCTGCTTGAGAGCACTTTTTCAGCTTCTATTTGTACATTAAAGTCTTGCAGAGATTTCCGTTTTTTTCGCCAATCATTCACTGTATATGTATGTATAGCGATAAAGTCAGGCGGCTTAGATTAGGAAATACACCTATTTTATGTATCAAATGTAAATAAACAAGAAAAATATAAAATATATACAGTTAAAAGTATACACATTTATACCCAATTCCTTCTTAAAAGCCGTGTACAATAGAAACTTTGCTATGGGTTAAAATGACCCTGCATTCGTCTGTAAAACCATTCGCCTTCTGAGGGTTAACACATTTCGTTTACGCTTATTTATACTCATTCTTATATATTTTTAAATTTTAATGCAATACATATACGTGTATGTAATAAAGTACAATATCGTGAAAGTGAACAACGTTTGGAATAATTATAATATAATAGAAACTCGTGAAAAACGTACACGTTTGACAGAGCTTTGATATGACTGACGATGAGTTTAATGTGCAACGGTTGTCGATTGTCTTATGTCGAAGTCCATTACTGCTATAGAAAAATCACAATCTGTTTCTACGGAAACCATTGGCCGGTTAAAGCGGAGCTGGATAAGAGGGAGTCTACTGTATTAAAGAAACAGCACAAAGATTCTATGAGAAAAAATTAAAATAAAATACTTGAAAATATATTTAATATAAGACATAATAATAAGCCATTTAGAATTAAACATAATGTACCATATCAAAAATTGCCTATATTTTACCAAAATAATATGTAAGCTCAATTAGATAAAGCAAAATGCAGTCATAAGATTTGTAAGACTGAGTGTGACTGTGTAGAGAGTGAGTGTGAGAGCGGAGCTGTCCGAATACGAGTGTAAAAGGATTGTTGTTTGTATAGATGTACAATTATTCAAACAAAATTTAATACAAAGTAGAATGTAAGGCAACAACTATATCAATACAAATGAAAAGTGCCATGTAGTTTGTTATTACAAAAGTCCAAAAACAGGTTTTTAATGTATAATTTTCCTGTAAAAGTAATGATATTCTAAAGACTGAACTGACATAATGTGAACATCACTCTGTGATAAATATAACTGTGAATGGATATAAAATCCAAAATAAGCAAAATGAAGGATAGAACCAAAAGCAGGCAAGGACTTTCAACTAACGAATATGTTATAAATGTATATATTTTAACTTAAGTTAGGAATGTATGCATAAGTATGTTACGGCTTACACTTATCTCCTCACACAGAATGGAATGTTGGTTAGTTGATAGGAGGTTGGAACTTTCAACGTATGTTACATTCAACGTGTGTAGAATACGTCGTACTCCAGGTTTGGAAGGATCTAAGGACTTTGCGTGTCGTAATGTTCGATATACCTCGAGTAGTAAAGGTATGCCTTTGTGAGTTTAGCTGATTCGTTACTAATGTTACTCAGGAGAGGTTTCGTTGAAACGAGCGAGTCTGACATAATAATGATATATATTTTAGTATAAATAAGAAGTTACAAGTTACTTCGATCCAACGATCAGTTACAATTGTGGCGGGTACGCCGTCGTCAACAAACCCTTACCGAACCTCGTTCTATTCTTCCACGCGAACTTTCTCTTTTCCAACTCCTTCAGATTTTAGTTTCCGTTCTTTTGTCTCTCCCCGGGTTAAGACTTGCCTTCGTCCTCGAGTAGCCTAAGAAGCGCACATGTGGCATCCAGGTTCGCACGAGAACGAACGGCCCCGCTTTCTACGAATTTTCCGTTTCCACCACTTTCTCCACTTCTACCTTTATCTATCGCTACTCCTGTCTCCCTGTCCTCACAATATAAAAACCCAGTACGCCTACATCTCCAGACAGTTTTTCCTTTATCGACCATCGCGACGTACCCGCCGAACCGCTGCCGCCGGGACAATTAACAAAGTAAACGATTGTATTTTCTGGACAAATTGTACGCCTACCATACACTTATACTTTAATAAATTGAGGTGAAAACAGTGTAACGACGTTTCTCATCCACCTCACAATGATAGTTAAATAGTTAAATGGTTAATTCTCGACTTGGCGAGTATATTCCTTCTCAGTTTACGCGATGAGCCGCAGGGGTGCCTTAGACCGTATTGAGAATATAATAATTCTATGCTTGAAAGGGACTACAACCCGATCTTGCTCGCGTTAACGTTCCGACTGGCAGAGTAACGTTCTGGTAAAAGACTGCGACCCTGAGCGTCAAAAATCAGATCCTTATATACTCCAAAAATTGTGAGTTTTGGTAGTGGGGACGTTCGTTTGCCCTATTTCAAGGGCTTTCTAGGGGTGCGCGATAGACTAAGGACTCAGCGCCACCGTGTCAGCTAGGCTGCATACGTAAGAAGTATATAGCATTGTTAAATAAAATGTTAAAAAAAGAAGGTTCCCGTCCAATCACCGAAGTCAAGCTGCACAGGCAGTGACCGCAGTTGGGATGGGTCCGCTTGGTCTCTCACCACTGTGGAAATCGCGCCGTTGCACAGTGGCAGATTTCACCGAAATTCTGGTCAAAAGTCATATTTCTAAATGTAAGATAAATTATCGTACTAAATTGTCATAACATGACTTTAAAATGATAATACACTTATTTAACATTAAATATTGAGTATAAAAATGTAAAATACATCCTATTTTAGTTGTTTCTTAATATTTATTATAAAATGTTAACTAATTATATTCTTCTTCTGCTTCCTCTTCAAGAGAAATTATCCTACTAAATTGCAGTAATATGTATGACTTTAGAACGATAATGTACTTTGTTAATGTTAAATATTGAGTATAAAAATAATTTTCATCAAATACAATAGTGATGATAAATACTTGTAAGTGTAAGAATGTAAAATATATTCTATTTTAGTTTATTGTTGTCGCTGAGTAAATGAAAATTAATGTATTCTGCCTGTTTCGTATTTCTAATCCTATGCTGTAAATGTACTACTTATTAAATTAACAGGGCCATTTAGGTATAGAGTTAGGCACACTAAAACACGATATTCCGATTCTATGCCATAAATGTACCACCCCATAAATGGCGCGGACAGCAAAGAAATAACAATAATTCAAAATATCGCAAATTATCGCAGGAGAATCGCAGTCCCTTCTACAGGAAGCTTCAATTTGTTTTAAAAAAAAGCGGCTTGATCTCGCTTGATTTATAACTATTTCCTTAATAGAAGAAAAAAGAAATATAAGTCTTGTATTCTCCTCTATCACAGCTGTAAAAAATGAAATAAAACAATAAAACCAGAATATATATTAATTTAGAGCATATCAGATAGCTACCAACACTGAAAGAATTGTACAATAAAAACTGGTATTAGCGAATGCAGTACACGCAATGTATTGCAATAAATAAATTTTTAAAATTAAGAAAAAAATTTGTTCACTGTTGGTCAGGATTTCGGCGAAATCTGCCATTGTACGTTGGTTTTTTTTCGGGCTGAAATTTCGTGTAGACGTTAGTATTACCACACTAACAATCCTTACGTTAGTTGGGGTTCAAGTCCCAGTCGGGCGTCCTCGTGCAAATTTGTTCTGGTGGCAGGGGTTTGGCTAAGAGAGTAGGTGCGAGTTGAATGGAGATATAAAACAAAAGTCTGAGGTGCTCTGGATGCCCCGAAAGGGGCGGCTGACACTAGTTGTTGTTTATAGAAACAAAATAACGTGCTTGCCAACATATTTCAAGATTAAAAAAAAAACGAATGAAATAGGCAAAGTTGGGAAAAGGCACTAAACTGCACAATTACCACATGTTTTGACTGATATCTCGAAAACTAAAGGAGTTCGGGGGTAACATGTATATAGAAAAGTTGTTTAAAATGTTGACCTTAAAAGCATATTTGAAGGTCATTGAAATCGGTGCTGAGGACCCTATTCCCAATAATTACCCAATAAGTTAAAGCTACATGATGCCATTTAAAGAAACATCGATGACCTTGAAATAATCTTGAAAATGACATCAAACAAAAAGTTTGTTTGTACCACCATCTTTGCCCCCTTGAACAACTTTTGTCTTGAACATATTATCCCATCTTCAATCCAAACAGAGATATTTAGGTGTCCTGTTTCTCGTGATTAATCCGATATATTGTTGGGGGATCACAAAATATCTGAACCTTCCTTTATGTATTATTATCTTGTGAGAGTATCCTTAATATCAAATACTTTTTGAGTAAACGCTACATAGGATAGACCAACATCTTCGTAAAGACTCTATTAATATTTTATAGTGCAATAATATGGGATTTGGGCCTCCATACCTAATTATAAAGGAACACGAACAAGGAAAAATAGAGAGGGCGTTAGTGGCGTAGTGAGTCTTGTCCTGACCTCCTTAGAGAACATACGCTCCACTAGCTCTTTGAAAAAGACAAACTTTTTATATCTGAGTTCTCTAAAATTGTAAAATTGCAGAACAAAAATGGCTGTCCCTGGCCGTCGACACTCGCGATTCAGTATTTTCAATAAAAACGTGTAATCCCTCCCTGCATTAATTAAAAATTGCAACCGCAAAAAGGTCACCAAAAAGTCCCTAAAGAGGCAATGCCTCAATCTCCGTGCAGGCGATGAAAACGAGTGCAACAACAGCGAACATCCCAACCTCCAATTCATTTGCGTTACTGCAAAATGCACCAGAATCATGGTAACTTGCAACAAGGAGAAACCTCCTCCTATAGTGCAAAACGGCACCCCCGCGCGCATCTTCCAGAAAAATGGACCCTAATTCCCCCTGTTCCGTAAGCATCATAATTTACAATATATGTACAAGGTTTGCGCAATTACTTTCTCGAATTGCAACACATTCTCCACACAC